TCTAAATGCACTGCTTTTGCCAGCAATAACGAAATTAATTTCATTTTCTGTTTCTTCATTTGGTCTTTTCCAAGTTCATTTACAGCCTTTTCACTTTTGCATTCATATATATCTTCTGCTATCTATTAAACTTCATAATGATTTCATTCACTCAGAAATATGTTCTCTTGCTCTTGCTGATCTGACTGCTTTTTGCAGTTTCTAGACAATTTTTTTGGTTTGTTTGTTCTTTACATTAAACGAATTATGTAAAGAGTTTTATATAATATAATCCAAAACGTTTCTAGCCAATTAAATTGATGCTTTGAATATGGTCTGATTTGAAATGTGTTTTAACATAAGTGATTTCCAGAGAAACAAAAGTCTGTTTTTAATTAGACAAATAGCAGCCAGAATTCGTCAAAACTCTTCATGAATTATTTAACAATGTGCAATATGTCATAAGAATAATTCTAGACTGTATGTTTCTATGGCTACCAGGAAAACACAGTATTGTTGGGAATTTTTATATATTCTTATATTGATCTCTTTGCATAATTCTTTTAATGAAAAAAAAAACAACAATAAATGTCTGGAAGACGGCAAAAGACAGTAAATAAAAGTTGTGCTAATTCCTTTCGATTGGTTCCTTTTGGTTGGTCCACAATCGCTTTCGTTCAACGTTGAAAAATATGCACTTTTCATCTCCCCTCCTAAAAAAAAATAATCGAAAATTTCGTTACATTTAAGCAGCGAATCGCGCATTTAAGTATGGTTCAGTAGTTGTTGTTTGTTTTAATTTTTATTTGTTGTTTTGTTTTCTTTTATTTATTTATGTATTTATTTATTTTTGCAGGCATAAATTTTGCGGAAGTCACACATTAAACTGACTAACATAATCAAGATAGTGAAAATTATTTTTAATTCTTGATTTGGATAATTTGGGGTATGTTAACAATCTCCTGCGTTGTACAATGATGATTATTCTTAACTAAGTTCTTTATTTGATCAACTCCAAATGGTCTACTTGACTATGGAACATCGTTTGTGAACATTTGTGGTACCTATTTCATAAAATGTACAACTTTTCTGTATGTATGTTTGTGGATTCGGGGATAATTGTTTTTAGCGGAAAATAAAAATTTAAAAATTCAAATACTGAAAATTGTTTTCATCACTCTCCAATTTCAGAATCAATAATAAAAAAATATTCTACCTTTGAATATCAGGGCTACAGGAATGTAGGACGCCCATGGCTAAGATACAAGGACAAGCTGAATAGCAATTTGTCAGCAGTCAATATACCACATAACACCCTTGAGCGCTTAGCCTTGGAGCAGGTAGAATGGAGATCAACGTGTGTTTTTTTAATCTGCTTGTCTGAATCATCATCAAAAAGCGAGAGCAGGATCTAAAAGGTTAGCCAATCTAACAGTGATCTCATCTTACAATCCTCACACTTGCTCCATATGTGGCCTCCTTTGTAAATCACTAGCGGGTCTTAAATGCTACTTAAGATTATCGCACAAAATTTCATAACTGAATCAATAAGCTGTCAGATCTTCATACGTCGAAACCGACAGGGAGAGTCCATTATATATATATATATATATATATATATATATATATATATATATATATATATAAATGTTGCTTGTTCATAAGACATCTGACACGGTGCAAATCTAAAGCGATCTTTTATACTGAACTCGTTTAAAACTAAACACTTCTAAAGCATTCTGACAAATAAACGACCAAATACACATTTTAGAAAATGGTTTGTTTAGCTATAACTGGTACTTGATTGTATGATCATCTTAATTTCGTAAATCAGTTTTAATCGTTAACCGATAAAGCAAAGTGTAATTCTGATCAGGAGAAAACTTGAATTCTTATTATTCTATGCGCCCTGTCCATTAAGGACGTAGCCGATCATCGTTCTACACAATTGCCTGTCCTTTGCGACCCTTAATAAATTTTGTCTTTTCACTCTCATCATTCCTGTTCTGTCAACCATTTACACAAGCTCGCTACGTAGGTTATTTACTATTTTCATCTGCGTCCCTTTACCTTTAATATATCCTTTGAGCGTTAAAATTTCCCTCTTTCCTCATTATGTTACTAGAAATTTCAACTGACTCTTTCTAATCCTAAGTATAAGCGTTGTTTTTTGGTTTCATTTCCTTTAAAAACTTCCACATTGCTCACATGTCCAGTCCATGGTATTCACAGTTTCTTTCGTCGTTGCTCACGTACTGACAAAAGTACATTTTTCATTATCATTTGTGTTAAACAGGAAAACTGGAAAATCGGACATCGGCAAAGTGAAATTTCTTTGGGAATGGGAATACAAATGAAATAAAATATAATATGAAAATATTGAGTTGACAAATTTAACACCCTACTGACATATTATATATATATATATATATGTGTGTGTGTGTGTGTGTGTGTGTGTGTGTGTGTGTGTGTGTGTGTGTGTGTGTGTACACGAATACAAACACGGGCATAGGGTACTGACCGTATTCGGGAATTAAAAAATATGTCTAACTCTCAGCACCATTTACGTTAATACTTACATACCATTTAGAGTCACACAAGTAAATATCCTAAAAATAGCTAACAGCTTAATCAACAAATTTCTACGCACACGAAATCTCAAAAGGAAATTTCTTGGAAGTGTGAGATTGATGTCCAAGTACACAATTATATATATATATATATATATATATATATATATATATATATATATATATATATATTTTTGTGTGAGCACGTGTGTGTTTGTGTAAAACACACACACACACAAAAATATATATATATATATATATATATATATATATATATATATATATATATATATATATGTGTGTGTGTGTGTGTGTATCTACTTTGAGTGTGTGTTAAATAAAAAGTATGAACAAACATGAATGGGTGCGATTACGTTCATATACAGATTTGCCAATAAATGTTTATTTAATGTTTTTTCTACTCAAAACAGTGCTTAATATAGTGTAACAGAGCTATAGAGTATATAATCGACTATATATATTAGCTAAGTGAGTTTACAACTCAGAGATTCATGTGTGTGCAAACGTCAGGTATTAATAGTTAATTAATAGCACCTGGCGATTGTACAGACATGGGACTCTGCCGTACAACTGACGCAGGTAATATGTGTAGTTAATTACATATATATATATATATATATATATATATATATATAGAGAGAGAGAGAGAGAGAGAGAGAGAGAGAGAGAGAGAGAGAGAATAGGCTCAGGAAAAAATACATAAAATCAAAAAACTATAATAAAAATACCGATAATAAAACAAAAATATTTATTGTTTATTATTAGGCCTTTAGATCAAATAGAAACAGGATGAGAAAAGCTGTTAATAATCGGAATTTTCGGACACGCTTATATCCTTTCTCAAAAAGAAATATAATGAAACTAGTCTTTATTGGCGGGATGTGGGTATTTTGTGCATGTGATATATTACTGATGAAATCTAGTTTGAGTTAGTTGTTTGCCACTATTTCAATTGTGGAGGTTTTGTAGATTTTTTTCTTTTTATGGTAACTGTATTCCTTGAGTATGTCTAAATTCTTATCTAAACCTAGAATGTGAATTTATTTTAAAAATGTACTTTAACTCGAATATTTGACGTTCTTGTTGGCATTTAAGTGAAGACGCTACAAGCACACGTTTAATGTTATCAATACTATGGTCGACTTCGTTGAAATGGGCAGCTACAGGGAAATAGATTTTGTTCTCTTTGATAGATTTCTTTATGGTTATTAAACTGAAGACAGGCGGAATTCCGTACTTGTTTCACCGATATAATTTCCTGTTTTATATTTGTTGCAAAAAGTAAATATATTTGAACTGTCACAAGTTAAATGAGAAGGTCGTATCACTTTGTGCATATCAGGTGGCATAAAATGCTGTAGGTAATAATATGTTTACAAACTCGGTAAGTGGAGTGGAGTAATTTGGATCAGTGACGTAATTTGTGTCACTTGATTCTGGTTAATTTCTCCTAACTGACATGGTTTCACAGCAAGCTTATGGATTGAATCAGCCTGTAACCTTGTGATTCAACTGCACAATTGCATCATCCTTTTGTTTTTGGATGTCAAGGATGAAGGATCTATTTTGACTCAGGTACATTTTTTTTTTACTTGTAAATTAAACTTTCGCTTGAAAACACAAAATTGGCAGAAATCAGGTTCAGATACCAATTTTGGAACGAGAAAATTATCAAAGCATCCAAAAGTATACAAACCAGTTGAGTGTTATTAGGTGAGATGTGAAAACTCTAAATTTGGTCGGAGGAAGGGGGGTAATTTGGCTATAGGGGAGTAATTTGTGTTTAGAGGGGTAATTTGGTTCACGTTGGTATCTAAGAAATCGTATGAACTAGTGTGTGTTTAGCCTCAGATGTATCTAGAAATCATATCAGTTGAATGAAATTTAGTGATTTGAGATTCATTTTGGATGGTTAAACCAGAAAATGCTGCCCAGTTTTTAGAATGCCTCCGACACACAAACGCAAAACTGAATCGTATAGCCCAGATGTACCGTATGCAGCAATCAGCAAGATTCATAATGATGGTGCAAGTGTATATAGTGCTGCAAAGAATTTTGATATTAGCAGAGACACACTAAGACGCAGGTCACCAAGAAACCAGATAAAGATGGAAGGGCTAAAATGCGGGTGTTGACCGGCCAAGAAGAGGTGGTCGTTTTCGTTGCTCTGGAAAAGTGATTTGCTCTAGCCTGGCCTTGCGGAACTGAAGAAATAAAGCTGTTGATAAAGACTTATCTAGGCAGTGTTGAAAAGAAAACGGTGTCCAAGAATAATTCCCCCAGCAAGGACTGGATGATCTTATTTAGACAACGTTGGGGAGATCGACTTTGTTTAAGAAAGCCGGGAGTCCTCACCAAAGCTTGTGCGCAACATCTCAACCAAGAAATTCATGGTAAATTTTTCGATGTATTCTACAAGATTCTATCGACTGGAAATTGCAGAGAAGAAAGCAAACGTTTGCAAGCAAAGGAGGGAGAAGTACTAACAACTCTAGCTGTCATGCGAAGTCTTCAAGAGGAAGCGGAAACAAGAGAGGCAAAGCAGAAAGGAATAAGTCTCGCAAGGCTTTAGTTGATATGGAAAATGAAAGTCAATGTGAAGGCAAGAAGTCAATGAAGACATTGAAAATGAAGATAACACAGTTGTGTTTTATGTGGGTTACTGTGGAGAACCTATGGCTAATTGGTGATATGCGTAACAATTATGTGTGCCCTAAATGTGTGCCTAGAAACATGGATTTGGAGGCTGAGTTTTAGTGCAGTAACTGTTCTGCCTAACTGTCATGGAAATGCGCCCGTAGATATTTAGAGCTTGTTTGTGTTATTCTTGTTGGAAATAACCAATTGCATTCATGAATTTCCACATCTTGTTATTGAGTATTTTCTGATACGAACCAAATTACCCCACATAATATTTCGAAACTATGACAAAAGTAGTTGTTGTGGAATGGTCCGCCATGAGGGGAGAAGCTTATTTTGTACACTTTGACATGCATAAACATTCCTGAAATAACCCATTTGCAAGTATCAATAAAATTTGCAATCCTTGTTCCACCCAGTTCGAAATTTATTTTGACTTGGATTGAAAAATAGGCCAAAAATGACCCAAATTACTCAACCCCGCCATATTTGGTTTTAAACATGTTACAAATCCTTGGTAAGTATTATTGTAGTCTAGATGATGTAAGGAGTGATTGTAGATTTGGAGGTTGTCGCTTGGTGTTAAGTGAGGGTTTTACTTCTTCTGTGTGCCGCGTTCCTTCAGGTACGATCATAGCTCTCCACAATTTCCTATCTCGGGTGGCTCTTAACAGTTTTTCTCGCTTTGCTAAGAACCCCGTCCCCACATTTCGCCAATCATTCATACAAGCTTGTCAGGTAAGCGACTCGTTGGCTTCCCCCATCTCTTTTGCCCTCAATTTTAAGATTAAGTTTTCTAAAATATTTCAGCTGTCTTTTCCTGATTCTGAGTAGAAGTGTTCTTTCTGTTGCCATTTTTCTTTAAGACATCCTTGTTACTTAATTCCTTCATCCATAGAATTTACCGTATCCTTCTGTGAAACCATATTTCTAAATATCTTATTAATCGTAGGGTCAAAGTTTATGTACTCGAAATCTTTAACTGAGATTGAGATAGTTTGTGAATCTTACAATTAAAATAAAAAGAATTGGGAATTTTGAAATGTTTCTCATTTTGTTTCGTAGGGTAGAATTGTATCTCTATTGTGTTTCGAAGCCTGGGTTATTGATTTGTTTCTAATAGCTTTAAGAAAATTGTTTTTATTGAGAATGTGATTGTTTAGTTGCCCTTTGGGCTTTTGTAACCCCTAATTCCTTTGTTTTATCGCTTTTCCGCTACCATAAGGTTGCTTTCCTGTGCCTATTCTATAAATATTCTCTTAGTAATTATTCTGAGGAGCTTTACTCTTTGGTACGTTGACTTTATGAAAAAGGCGCAATACTAGATTGGAAGATATTATTTTCAATTTGAAATTGCTAGATGTATCCATAAATTGTAAGCTAACGGTTTCTTTTCTTGCACTTCTCTCTTATGGAGCACTGTTCCGGCTTTTTAAATGCAATGCAGTCGTTATATTCTGTCATCTTAATTTCTGTTTTTTGTTATTTCTAATGTTCACTCAATGCAAGGCTCAAGAGCCACTCAATATAGAGAGTTACTAAGTGGAGTTGTATTAGCGTAAGTAAGGACAAGTGTTCGGAGAATAAAGTTAAAGTAGAATTGCAGGAACCGAAACACAATCGTGAAAAGTAAACAAAGGATAAACCTCTTCTTTTTATGTGCCGTTTTCTTTCAGGACGTAGGCGATCATGGCTCTCCACATCCTCTTTCCTTTCTGTCTCTCAATAAGTGATGTGCCTCTGCCAACTCCCCCAGACCATGTTCTGCCATCCACTTGCTTAAGCCCGCCATGTATGCCATACGTTGCTTTCCCTTGTCTCTATTCCCCTCTATTGGACCTGTATCAGATTCTCCAGGCCCTATTTTCTCATTGCATCACCTAGAAATTTCATCTGCCACTTTCGGATGTTAATTATAAGCTTCCTCCTTGTTTGCATCTTCTCCAAGATCCTGTCGTTGCTCACGCGCTCACTCCATGATATCCTTAGCATCCTTCTGTAGAGCCACAACTCCGTCGCCTCGAGTCTCTTCTTCATCTTTGAGGTGACCGTCCAACATTCGCTGCCATATAGGAGAACAGATATCATGTAGCAGCTCAGTACTCTTTTTTCATGTCACCAAAGAAATTCTCCTCTTTCGCAGTACTCAAGCCAGCTTATAGAATTATAGAATGCATCCATTGCCATCCCATCTGTCTTCGGATCTCAGCCTCACAACTACCGTCCTCCTCTTTTTGTCTACATGGGTATATATATATATATATATATATATATATATATATATATATATATATATATATATATATATATATATATATATATATATATATATATATATATATATATATATATATATATATATATATATATATATATATATATATATATATATATATATATATATATATATATATATATATACATATATACATATGTATATATGGGAAGGAATATATATGTATATGGGGAAGGAATATATATGTACATGTGCATGCTAACCGGGACACGCACGCACACACGATACACAAAAATGGAAATTGACAGCCTCAAAGGAAATGTAGGGATAGGAAAACATCTCTCACCAGCACATCTATCATCACCACCTCTCAGATCAAACCTAATAGTTTTATTACCACTTAGGCAAAAATTCACTTTTGCCAACAGTCCAGAAATGAGATCAAGGCTCACTACAAATATAGAAAACGAACAATAAAACATTAAAAGAACGTAAGGAAAATATATTCCTTCAAAAATTTATTTCTTTTATTTGGCTGAAGAAAATCATGAGACCGTAAACACGTGTAGCAGAAATATGAAGAATAAAATATAATACATAAACTAAAACAACTCCACATTGTAAACAAAAATCATTGCGGTTTCTCTTCTTTTTTTTAAATATTCATTTCTCTTTCGTTGGAACAACTATAACCTATTCCATATATATATATATATATATATATATATATATATAGTCGGCGTCTGCCCTGATCTATCCCCTAACTTTCTTTCATCCTTTCCTCTATCACTCCTCTTTGCTCTCCCACCAACTCTATGTAACCCCTTGCGTGCTAGTGGCTTCCCGCCTTGCTTTTGGTGGAATATATATATATATATATATATATATATATATATATATATATATATATATATATGTTACGATGAAGAAAAATATAAAACGTTTATCAATCTAACATGTTTCACTTTTACTAAAACTACATCAGAGAATGAGATAAAGAAAAAAAGAAATTCTGGAATTTTTATTTTTGCGTTCTTTGATTTTTCATTGGTTCACGTGCTTTTGACTTGTTAAGCAGCATTAGTATAATTTATGGCGTTGGAACACATGGAGAGATGACACGTCTTTTTGAAGTTCCAAACAATAAAGGATTCCAAACATAAATATGGTTTTATATAAGTTTATCACATTTCTTGTTTATCTATGTGAAACTCCGATGATAATGTATATTCTTAAGTGTGTGCATGTCTAATCGATGTTATTTATGCTTCCTGATTGCTCATTTGTTTATTTATACTTATCTATTTTTTTATAACATGTTAGTGTAAAATGTCATGATGCCATTTCTCATCTTAAGTCTTTGGTTGGCACCCGGGAGAAAGCGAAAGAAATAATAATAATAATAATAATAATAATAATAATAAGCGTCTTTACTCCTTAATAAAGAAAGCCAACAAGTTCAAAATAGAGTTTCAAATGGGCGAAGAAATACAAGTAAAGCACAGTACACCGGCTGAAGTTGCAAAATACTTAAAAAAGAAAGCAAAGGCAAAATGCAACCGACCAGATACAGAAACAATGGCAAAATAAACCACTTCATGGCCAATACTCTGCCCTTACCAAACAAGCTGACGTAGTCAAAACCAGTGGCTACGTAGTGCAGGCTTGAAAACTGAAACTGAAGGTTTATCCTTGTTGCACAGGACCAATACTTGCTAACTAGGAATTATCAAGCACATGTACTAAAATATTGTGTCAGCCCAAAATGCAGATTCTGTGATAAATATCCAGAAACGATTGATCATCTTGTATCAGGTTGCACGATATTGGCACCTACTGAATATAAAACCCGTCATGACAGAGTGGGCCAATATCTGCACTGGAAAATTTGCAACTTCTACGGGAAGGAAACTGAAAGAAACTGGTATGAACACCACCCAGACTCGGTTATGTAGATAGGACCTGTTACAATTCTATGGGACTACACAATACACACTGACAGAACAATCAAAGCCAACCGCCCAGATATTGTTATTAAAGACCACAAACAAAAAATTGCCTCCTTATTGATATGGCAGTCCCTGCTGACTGCAATGTATCATTGAGGATATTAAAAAAGCTATCAAAATACAAGGACCTTGAAATCGAAAACTCAAAAATGTGGTACATGGGAACATCAACAATCCCCATTGTAGCTGGAGCTCTCGGATTGATTGGAAAAGATTCCAGTAGACTAATTTAAGGAATTCCTGGAAGTCCATGCCTCAAAGAAATACAAAAAAATTGTTCTCATAAGTACAGCCCACACTTTACGAAGGGCTTTATCTATGTAATTTTTTTTTTTTTTTTTTTTTTTTGTCAGTGGAAAGTGTCATGATGTCATTTCTAACCTTAGGTCCCCGAAATAAAAGAAGAGGAAAATAATAAAAATAATAATAATTAGAGATCGCAAACAAAAAAATTGCCTCTATATTGATATGCCATTCTCTACAGACTGCAATGTATCTTTGAAGATCTTCAAAAAGCTATCAAAATACAAGGACCTTGAAATCGAAATCTCAAAACTGTGGCACATGAGAATGTCAACAATTCCAGTTGTAGTTGGAGCCCTCGGATTGATTGGAAA